GGGGTGCCCACCCCAGCGCTTCAACCAAATGCGCAGCATGTTCGACGAGTACGTCCGCTCCTCCACGCTGCAGAACTGGAAGTTCTGGATAGTATCCTTTGGGGCCGGTACCTGGTGCTTGCTCTGACCCCTCCACCGGGTCCTCTGGTTCACCCGCTGCTCCCAGGTCTGTGGGGTGTCTCCATCTTGAGAGACTCTGGGAACCATGGGGAGCCAAGGGCACATGGTGGGAACATGCTGAGATGCTGTGGTCAGGAGAAAGCTTCTGTTGCAATGGAGCAAATGGAGTAGGAGTAAATGGTTGGTCCTCAAGGAGAAGGAAAGTCACTGGTGAAGCTGAGCTAATGCAGGGAAGAGCTCTTGCTGACATGGGCACTGGCTCTGAGAGGCAGCAGCCATCAACTAGAGATTATGAAAGGTCCAGACACAAAGCTGGGGATATGATGACTGAGCCTTGGTGGCCATGTGGCACACCCTGGAAACCTAGGTGTGCCCATGCCTGGGACACAAGTCAGGGCTCCACATTGTGAAGAGGATGGAGGGGACCAAGGGCCAGGGAACAGGTGGTGAAAGGGCTGGGCCTGCTTCTCTGTGATCAGAAAGGGATTAGACACACTGGGATGATCAAGCCTGTAGACTGTGAGGTCTACAAAATCCCAAAGGGCAGAGGGATGGGCAGGCCTGTCTGCTCACAGTTCACTACAGTGCAGTCAGCCTGGGCAAGGCAGAGGTGGCTCCTGAAAGAGTTTGGGAATGCTGTGGAGCCCCTTCCACAGGACACTGGGTATAGTTATTCCAGTGTGGGCTCCAGGACACGCTCCCAGTGGAGGTATCTGCTGTGGATTGCTACATGCATAAAGTCCACCAGTCCCCAGCAGTGGTCCCTGCAGGTTGGGAACACCAGGGGAGCATACTGGACACAGTAGCATCACATCCTGCTCCTGTGCACTTTGGAGGATGCTGCGCTAACTGGCTCCTTTATCTGCTCTGGAAGAGTGGTCTTGTGTCTAAACAACCATTTCTGGCAGCCCCACTCATGACAGGGCTTATGCAGCCTCCCACTGCCTGACCTGGGTGGCACACATGTCCCTGTCAACCCAACAGTATGGGCTGGTGCCCAGCATGGTGCTGTGCTGGAGAAGGTGCCCAGCAGGTCTTATCCACGGCTGGGCAGGGAGGCTTCTCCTGCTGCCTGTAAGAGGGTGCTGCTTACACATGGTAGCCAGGAGACCTTGACTTCCCATGGTCCTTAACTCCTCTGCCCGCTTCAGTTCAGTATCATCATCCGGCCTCTCTTTGAGTCTTTCAATGGCATGGTCTCCACAGCCAGCTTGGAGAGCCTCACCCAGACATCGCTCGCGTGGCTGGACCAGCACTGCTCCCTCCCAGCGCTTCGGCCGAGTAGGTGGCCCTGCTCCTGCCCATGGCACCCCAAAGAATTCAGGCTGGCCTGCTGGCATGGGCCAACAGAAAAGCAGAGAAAAGGCTGGGTGCATCTTGAGGGGCGGTGGGGTTGGTGCTGCACCACACTTCTGCCACACAGGAGGGAAGCACCTGCGGGATGTCCTGGGGCTGTCTGCGTGGTGCTTTCCTGTGCTCATTTCGCACCCATGCTCCAGCTGAGCTGGCTGCTGCTGCCCTAACCCAACAGCCCATGTCCTGGCTCATCAGGGCTTAGGCCGGCTCACAAGGGTGGGTTTCCCTTTGCCTGTTCTGCTGGGGGCTGTGGCTGGGAGCTTCATGCTGTGTCAGGGGCCATGGCAGGGCTGGAGCGGGGATGGGAAGTGCCATCTCCCCTGGGATGGGTTAACCCGGGCCCCTTCCAGCCCCCAAGGGATAGGGGTGCAGCTGACATGTCCCACATCTCCCGCAGCCATCCTGAGCTCCCTCCGGCAGCTGAGCATTTCCACCTCCATC